ACACTTTCCTAGTTCATTCATTCCACTCAGTTTCTTCACATGGCCCACAGTATCGAGGGCGGAGTTTTGGGGTAATGGGCAGGCGGAGGTTCTGGGTGTCGAGTAAAACGAGGTCGTCGGGCTGGTAAGTGACAGGTCGGCGGTGGCGGTCGGCGTTGCGTTTAGCGATGATGTTTGACTTTTCAATTGCGTCTGCTGCCCGGGTCCGTGCTACTTGTAAATTTTCGGCGAGCTGTTGTGCTCGTGGCACCGGGTTGTCGGGATTCGGGGTCATGGGTACTGTCGCGTCTTGTCCGTAGTTCAGGTAAAATGGTGACTGTTGGGTCGTGGCGGAAGGTGAGTTGTTGTACGCGAACTCGATGAGTGGCAGTTGTTGTTCCCAGGTGGTGGGGTCGTCGCACGTGGCTCGGATGAGCTGTTCCATGGTCTGATTTGTCCTTTCTGTCTGTCCGTCGGTCTCGGGGTGGTACGAAGAGCTGAACTGTAGTCGCGAGCCGAACTGCTGCCACAGGTTCCGCCTGAAGTTGCTGGTGAATTTCGTGTCTCGGTCGCTGATGATCGCTGCTTTTATCCCGTGCAGTCTAACGACGGTGGAGATGAAGAGGCGTGATGTTTCTTCGGTTGTGATTGATTTTTTGCAGGCTGCGAAGTGTGCCATTTTCGTCAGTCGATCGACGACGACCAGGATCGCATCGTTCCCACTCGCTCCGGCCGGTAACCCCGTGACGAAGTTCATCGTCACCTACTGCCAAGCACGCTCTGGGGGTGGTATCGGCTGCAACTGTCCTGCCGGCCGCTTCCGTGATGACTTCATGATTTGGCAAGTGGGACACGATGCCACGTGTCGTTGAACGTCGGTCAACATTTCGGGCCAGTAATAATACCGCTGCAACTGCTGCCGTGTTTTCTCTACCCCAAAATGCCCCGCGGTAACTCCGTCGTGTGCCTCCTGTAACAGTAATTCCCGTAGCAGTGTATACCCTGGTACCCAGATGCGGTCGGTCCCGGCTTTTACGTAATAGACTCCCTTTGCTGCTGCGAACTGCTGCGAATTTCCTCCTGTGAAGAATGGATCCGTTTGGTACCCGTGGGTAAATAGGCCTGTTAGTAGTGGGCTGGTCTGGGCGAGTAGTATTGCGTGGAGCTGGGCAGTGGGGCGGGTCAGTGCGTCGGCGATGTTCGATGTCCCTTTTTTGTAGGTGACAGTGTAGTGGAAGTTTGACTCGAGGAAATCGAGCCAGCGAATCTGTCGTGGGTTGAGGTGTGGCTGTGCGCGGAGGTACTGTAGTGACTTATGGTCTGTCCGTACTGTCACGTCTGTGCCGGTCAAGTAACAGCGCCACACTTTGAATGCGTGCACGATCGCAAGCATTTCGCGGTCGTGTATCGGGTAATTTTTCTCAGGCGGATGCAGTTTTCGTGACTCGTATGCGATGGGCTGTAGGCCGTTGCCGAAGTCCTGTAGCAGTACTGCTCCGATGGCGATGTCACTTGCGTCTGTAACTACTTCGAATGGGCGGTGTGGGTCGGCGATGCGCAGTACGGGCGGTGAACAGAGGATATTTTTCAGGGCAGAGAAGGCAGCATGCTCTTTCTTCCCCCACGTAAAAGCGACCCCCTTCCGTAGCAAATCTGTCAGCGGCGCAGTTATCCGTGCCATGTCGGGGACGAACCGACGCACGTAATTGACGAACCCCAAAAAGCTCTGCAGTTCCGTGATATTCGTCGGGGGGTGCCAGGCTTTTACCGTGTCCAACTTCTTCGGGTCAATTTCGACCCCAGCCTCCGAAATGACGCGCCCCAAAAACTCTAGCCTGTCCTGAAAAAACTCGCACTTGGAACCCTTGGTCAGTAGCCGATGCTCGTTTAGAATTTTAAATACTGCTTCCAGATCTGCTAAGTGCTGCTGCTTGTCACGACTGTAGACGAGGATGTCGTCGAGGTAAAATGTCACGCATTTATCTAAAAGCGACCTAAACGCTTCGTTCATGGTCATCTGAAAAGTTGCCGGTGCGTTGGTCAGCCCGAATGGCATCACGGTGTACTCGAATGACCCGTATCTAGTCCGAAAAGCTATTTTGGCGCAGTCCGATGGTTCGAATCTAATCTGATGGTAAACCCCCCGTAAATCTATTTTCGAAAAAAACCCGTGATGTTCGCAGTTGGTCTATCAGTTCGTCGGCGCGGGGAATGGGGTACCGTGACTTGACTGTTACCCTGTTGAGCGCTCTGTAATCGATGCACATGCGAAACCCTCCGTATTTTTTTCGGCGTGAACAGTATCGGTGCGGCGAACGGTGACGAACTCGGTCGGATGAATTTCTTCTCTAACAGGTAATCTAACTGCTTCCTCATTTCGTCGAGCTCGGGTTGTGTCAGTCTGAACTGGCGCTGTACGGTTGGCTGTGCTCCCGGTTCTAATTCTATTCGGTGGTCATGTGCTCGCTGAGGTGGCAGTCCCTCCGGTATATCGTCAGGAAAAATCCTCGGGTATCGTTTCAACAGTTCCTGTAGTTCGGGCGGTACCGCTGCCAGCAGTTTCTTGAAATCACTCGGCTGCTCTGCTTCTTCTACCACTGCAATGTCTACTGCGTACACGTCAGCTCCAGCTGCGACAGCCCGTTTCATGGTGAAGGCGTTGACGTGTACCGTTGAAGACTGAGGCGATTGCCAGCGAGGTAGTTCGACCCAGTTACCGCTACTTCGCACAGTGCAGCTGCCCGTCGTCCAGTCAATTCGCGGGTTATACCGTCGCAGCCAATCACGTCCCAGTAAAATGTCGTGCCCATCCAGTGTCGACACGAGCATTTCCTGTGTAAACCCGAAATCCCCCCCGCAGCGGACTTTAACTCTCTCCACCTTTTCCCGTATGGCCAGTGGCGTGCCGTCAACTAAGCGTGCATCTATCTCTGGTAAACACCGGCTAAGTGTCAGTTGCAGTTTCCGTGCAGTTGTGGTATTAACTAAACTGTGACTTGCTCCTCCGTCGATGAAAATCTTCACTACTGCTCCCTGTATTTTCCTATGGATCAGTACTGGGCAATCCGTCGCTGTACCCTCCTTATTCGTCTGAGCCCGATCGATAGCATGAATCGGTACTGTGACTCGGTGAGGGTCGGTGGGGTTGGGCGAGCAGGCAGTCTCGTCAGTAGTTGGCCCGATTTCCTACTGACTGCTGGCGTTTCCCTGCCTTGGAGACTCCCTCCCCTGCTCTGCTCCGCGGCGCCTCAGCTCCTCTGGGCACTCACTCTTGCGATGGTCCGGCCTGTTGCAAGCAAAGCAGCGCCCCTTAAACGGCGCGGCAGCTGCATTTGTCGCAACGGCATGTACGGTGGCGTGCTCGATCGGCCCCCGAAGGCGATGCCCGTAGTAGGACCCCGGTCTCGGACGGCGCAAAATGTCGATTTTCTCGGCGAGCGCGAGAATCTCGTTGAAATTCGAGAGTCCGCGTAGCATGATTTCGTGCGAGATGTCCGGCTTCAGCCCTCCGACGTTACGGTCCACCCGCTCGGCTTCGTGCATGTAGCCGACTTGCTCGCATAATGCGAGAAAACCGGTCGTGTAGTCTTGGACCGACCCGAGCTGCCGCCAAGTACGCAGTTTCTGACGCGCCGAAATAGAAGCCGCGATTGGCTCGAAACGCGCCCGAAGTTCTGCGTACCACGCATCCCACGTGCTGTACTGGGCGGTTTCGCAGAATGATCTCCAGGTGACGGCTGGACCCGTGGGCCCTTCCTCTTGCGACGGTGGCTCGTAGGCGCGTGGCGACGTCACGATGACTCGCCACCAGTCCATGGCGGGGCCTCTCAGCAGCGAGACGGCGTATCTAATCTTCGCTGCGTCCGACTCGACATAATTTGCGTCGAAGAATACGTTCATCGTGAAGACCCACGACTGAACCGTCGGACCTCCACGCTGACTCGGGTCGAAACAAGGCGGGCGCTGCGGCTTGAGTGGCATTGGCGCCATGATGGCGTGGTCGCCGCTTGTCGCCGCAAATTCCACGTGCCGACGGGCTTCGCGAGGCTCCCTTGGGCTTGGCGCGGCCCTGTTCCTTTCCATGCCAGGCATCGAGTGGGTGGCGCCATCACTGGCTGCGCCTGAGCGTTGTCCCACGCTGTCATTCTGTGTCGGTGTGCCTGATGAAATGATGATCGGCTCCTCCGATTGTGTAGGTGCATTTGCAGGTGCGTGTGGTGGCGCCGGAGTATTCACCGTGGATTGCTGACGCGTGGAGTCACGTTCCGCCGTGAGCGTCGCAATTTCGAGCGCCGACTCCTCAACTTGGCGCACGAGACGGTCGAGTTGCTCCTGCGTCAGTGTCGCGAGAGTGAATTTGGCCATGGCGGGGGTGTCGGGCAAACTCAACGAGAGCCTCTGTCGTGGCCGTGCGTGCTTACGAGAGAGCACTACGAGCGGCGGTGCTGTGTCGCTGAGAGACGTCTACCCCCCCCCAAAAAATTGAGATAGTGGGGAAAACGAAGGTGTGGGTGCGGTCCGAGAAGAGATCGTAGGCTCTGATACCAAGTGTTACGAGTGCAATTGAGTGATCGAACGAGAATTGCACTATCGAAGCAAGAGTACAATGAGCGAAGGCATGAGCGAAGAATATATAGCGAAACTACAGTGGTAACGGTAATGAACTGTGGGTGACGCGCGACGGGCCTGGAACCGAGGTTTGGGAAAATGTCGAGGCGGAGGCCCGGACATAACTTAAAAAAAAAAAATCTAAGATGGGCAATAAGCTTGGCATAAATCAATCAGCGCGACCTTTTCCTAGGGTAACATGGTACATTTCTTTTTGTGCCTTGAAAGTGATAGAATGCTCTCCTCTTCCGGTCTTGAATCTCGGGGATTAAGGTTACGGCATGTGTTCTGTGGGTAGAAGAAACATACCCTCTAGTAATTATGATACGGTACCTTCCACTTCCAAGTCTCAACGACTACCAGTTTTTTATTCACACTACGACACTTGCCAGGCGGGGATGATTCAATTCAATTCAGCCCATCTGCCGGATGAGGTCCAGCTGGTCATCCAGTGGAACATGCACCTGAGCCTGCTGCCAGCGCAGCTCCTCATCCACCCTGTGCGCCGCTCTGTTCACGCCCGCGCCAAAGCATTCCTCACGGATGCCTATGAGCTCGCTGCACACTTGCCACATGTTGGGGCGGCTAGCAGTTTCCTCAAGCGTGCAGCGCACGGCCAGTTGCACAACGCGCAGCAGGATGTCGTCAGGCACGGGCGGGTGCAGGTTCGCATCCCTGAGGCGCGACAGATCATTGGTCTCTAGCGCCTTCTTAGCCTGGCGTGGGGGAGCAGGGAGGAACAGGGACGGCGGGGAGGTGGCGAGAAGACAAGGTTGGGCGGGCAGGAATGAGATGGATGCAGCGAAGCATGAAAGCCACCACGGTGGTTCTGCAGCGACCACCCCACAGTGCCACTATAGTGCCACAAGCCGCCTTGCATGATCCTACACACCTAGAGGCCACCGGTAGGGATCACGGTGTACTATAGTACAGATGGGAGTCACGCAAGAGTCACTCACCCAATATATGATGTGACTGTCGTTCATGACTGTGTCGGGCGGCAATAGCCGCCCAGCAATGACCTCCAGAATCACAATCCCAAAGCTGCCACCACACAGTGCACACACAAGGAGTGTATCAATTACCGAATAAGTTCCACCTCACATGGGTGGGTGTGCTCGGCACCCATTCCAAGCGTGCACACATGCACAGCTGAAATCAGCACCTGTACACGTCAGACGCAGTAGTGACCTTGCTGGTGCGAGAGTAAGCAGGGTCCACGCGGCCCGGCGTGCCCTGAATGCGCGTGGAGTGCACAGCGGTGCCCTCGCTCACGCGCACGAGCCCAAAGTCCGCCACCTTGGCCTGCATGTTTTCGTCCAGCAGGATGTTGGCGGGCTTGATATCGCGATGCATGATGCGAAAGCTGTGCAGGTACTCCACCCCGCGCGCCGCGCCGATCAGCACATCCAAGCGCTGCGTGAGGGTGAGTGTTCTGGCGGGGTGCGTGGCGAGCCAGCGCTCGAGGCTGCCGTTGGGCATGAGGCGGTAGATGAGGATCTGCTCCGTCCACCTGGTGGCCTCCACGGTCTCCACACAGTAGCCCAGCAGCTGCACCAGGTTGTTGTGGCTCTTACACGCCATCACCTCCACCTGCCCGTGATGATGCCATGACATGCCACAGGTGGAGGGCAGTCCAGGTGGACGGAGAGGGTGGCGGGCGGAGGGATGGGGGGGGGGAGCGGGGTGGGCGGGGGGGGGATGGGGAGGGGGAGAGAGAGAGAGATGGAGATGAGAACGACTTGTGCCTGAGGTACAAGGCTGGCACAAACAGTCTTAGTGCATTGGGGCTTGAGAGGTGACGGCTTGTTACAACTCATCAAAAAGGCCATCGTAGACATCAGCTGATGCATGCGCCACACACGCCCCGTTGTTAACCCCAATGCAATGCGCAGTCAAAAGGGAGGGTGCACATTCCTCTCGGTTGGGCCTCGCTTTATCACTTGCTCAACCTCTTTGCCAACATTCCTTTCGACCGGGCATTTTAATATTCTGTAAACCTCAACGATTTTCGCCCAGGACAGCCACATTGAATGTGCACTCTGGTTTTAACCCCCATGCAGCGAGCACCGCAAAGCCCGCGTCTCATCTTTCTTGTTTCTCAACCAAGGGTAATACGCTTGAACCAGGTTGGTTTGGTGCAGTGCAACTACTATTGGCTGCAGTCTCAACAGTATGGTAGCGGTAGGTAGGTGCCCACCTACCAAGCAGCATTAGCGAGGGACAAGCCATTATGTGCGACAAGGGTTGTAAACACAGGGAGAAGGGGGATCGCAGCCGTGGCTGACGTGCATTAGGGGAGGTGGAGAAACATGAGACCCCTTCAAGCTTGCAAGAAGACACGTCCAAGGGTATTAAGATGGGCTCTTTGGAGTCTAGCGAACGACTTAATAGAAACTATGTTCACGACTCCGATCACGGAAAACGTAGGAACGGGTAGGAACGGGGCGGAAGGGAAGGGGAATACGGAAAAGGGAGGGACGGGATGGGATGGGACGGGAAGGGAAGGGGCATCACAAGAGGGAATGGGCAGGAAGAAAGGGATGGATCATGACGGGATGGGAAGGGACGGAAAAAAGAGGGGCGGGACAGGGCGGGTAGGGGCAGGACACATGAGAAAGGAGGGGAAGGGGCGGGAAAGAAAATAGTGGACGCGATGAGACGGACGGGACGGGGAGGGATGGGAATGGATGGGACGAGACTGGAACGGAAGGGGCGCGAAAGGGAGGGACGGGAAAGGCCCGGGAGACGACTGGTGTGCAGAAGAGAGAGTGAAGTGCTTGTGAGGGAGTGGTAGTGACGGGTGGTGGTGTTTTGAAGTGGGAGGAGGCCCAACCTTTTCCTTCCCGCATCCCCTTTCCCCTCCCCCCAGCCCCCTTCTGGCCTCCTATCCCACTATTCCGTCCCCCATCCCCCTTTCCGCCCCCGCATCACCCGTCCCTTGCCCGCATTCCCCTTTTCCTCCCCTCATATCACTTCCCTTCCCCCATCTCCCCATCCCTTCCCCGCAATCCCCTTTCCTTCCCCCATCCCGCTTCCCCCTCCCCCACAATCCCCCAAATTGACGTATCCCCCATCCCCTTTCCGTGCCACATTCCCCATGCGCTGCGCACCTCTTGTGTGAAAGTCTGAACGGCAATGGTGGCGCGCTTGACAGCCCAGTGCACGTGGGGGTTGCTGGGGTCCACGGCACGGTACACGTTGCCGAAGCCCCCTCGGCCTATCATGCGCTCCTCCGCCCAGTTCTCTGTGGCCTGCAAGAGCACCGCCAGGGGGTACTCCGGGCACTGCAACGCCCCTGCTGGCAACGGCTGATTCGCCCACCCTGCTGCAGCAGCACCAGCAGCAGCACCACCGCCACCAGCAGCACCAGCAGCACCACCAGCAGCAGCAGCAGCACCAGCACCAGCAGCAGCAGCAGCAGCAGCAGCACCAGCACCAGGACCAGCAGCAGCAGCACCAGCAGCAGCACCAGCAGCAGCACCAGCACCAGCACCAGCAGCAGCACCAGCACCAGCAGCAGCACCAGCAGCACCAGCAGCAGCAGCAGGACCAGCAGCACCAGCAGCAGCACCAGCACCAGCAGCACCAGCAGCAGCACCACCAGCAGCAGCAGCACCAGCACCAGCAGCAGCACCAGCAGCACCACCAGCAGCAGCAGCACCAGCAGCACCAGCGGTGGCAGCATCTTCAGCCGGTGCTGGTGCTGCCTTGGCTGGAAGTTCTTTTGGGACTGACGGTGGGTGAAGGGGGAGGAATTGGGAGAAAGGAGGGTAGGTTGGGAAGGGAGAGCGGAGAGGGCGGGAGCAAATATTAAGGTGAGACATTGAAGATGGGAGGCACGATGCACGAGGCAGAGTGGGTTGATTGGGGAGGAAACGACAGAAAGAGTCGGTAGAAGAGAGAAGGCAGAAGTGGTTGGAAGTGCGTGCGGAACGAAGGCAGTGGCGTGGCGTGGCGACCATAGGTGCCATGGGATGGGATCAACCCCGGACGGACAGGAAACTGCCTCGTACCTTCCAGTGACCCGAAGGGACTGTGCTTGTTGTGGGTGGAAGCAAGCAGGTAATAGAGGAGTGCAGCAACCATGGCAACTCCCGCCACACACCCCACCACAATCCCCGCGATGGCTCCCGCTGAAAGGGCTGCGAGCATGGGGCGACCATATTGAGGGGAGGAGTTGGTAAAACGCTAGCACCGCTCTGCTTGTGCGCGCATTGCATTTTATCCTCACTGCGACTTCCCCACACATCGCTACACTGCACCTACAACAATGCAGTGTTGCATCGCATGTGCAGCAAACACGTCATCCTCACTGCACGCTGCGAGGAGCCACTGTTTAACCCGCTTTGACCCCTCCTAGTACCGCTGCGCTGGCTGCCGCTCACTACAAACCCACTTCAGAGACTCTTACGGCCATCCTCTCTGCTCACGAGTAGCGCCATCATAGCCCCCACTGCTTGCATCATAGCCCCCACTGCTTGCATCACACACAGGAGGATGATGGTGCGGAGGGCGCGGGAGCAGGAGCGTAGAGGTACAGCGAGTCGTACTGCTGGAGCGCCGCCCGCCGCCACACATCCTCCTCGTAGTCCTCCGCGTACTCCTCGCTGTCGTCCTCCAATGACGACTCCTCGCCGCTTGCACTTGCTCCGCTCCCCCCTCCTCCCGTCGACAGGCCCACACTTTGCGCCGCCGCCGCGGCGCGTGCCTCCGCCAGCGGAGCTGTCCCCGGCGCGGGGCCCTGGGCGCGAGTGAGGTGCGCGCGGGTGGTGGGGGGGAACAGAAGCCCGTCCGTCGCGTGCAGCACGAAGCTCGTCGAGACTGCGGCGGCGTATTCCAATACAGGCACATCCGATACAGTGAAGCTCGCGTTACTATCCTGGTGTAGCACGAGGCTCTCGCCTTGCACGGTTCGCCAGGGGCCCTCCCACGCGAAGCGCGAGATCTTGTGGCGAACGAAATGGTACATCACGACTTGCCGGAGAGTCGCAACGTGGGACGGGCTCCGTAAGGTGGCAACAAGCGCGGCGGGCAGCCTGACCAACGACTCGTCGGACGGCGCGAAAACCGTAAACGGCGCGCCGTCGAGCACGCAGCTGATGGCGCTGCTGACAGCAGAAAGCTGCAGAAGTGATTTAAAGCCGGAATGACCCGAGTGAGCGAGGGTATCGAGTAGGACCTGCCACGTCGCGCCGAACACGTCGCGCGACGCTCCGCTTCGTGCCCGCGTCGTCGGGAGACAGACCACGCACGCGGGCATGGCGCACGCCATGGTGAGAGCAACCAATGCGATGCCATATGCGAGTTTCGCTCGATCCGCCTGCGGAGGCGACATGGCCGCCAGCGGAAGCTTTGAGCCGCCGTCGCGAGGCGCGGTGAAAGGTCCAGCCAGCAGCAGCGCGGAGGATCAGGGCGGCGTGTTCCGCATGCCTCGATTAGTGAAGGTGGGACAAACGGCGGTGGTGCTGTTCCGCAGGCACAACGGAGGGCAGGGGATGGGGAAGGTAGCTTCCTGGCTCTGCGTTTTTTGGTCAGAAAGTGCGGTCAGCCCGGAAAACGATGCCGAGGCTCCCGTTTTCGTCCAAACCTAATCGAAAGGAAATGGTTGCAGAACAGTCGTACCCTCACGAAGGAACCTTTCCCCCTCCCGTACCTTCTCCGGCAATCCAACCTGCCGTGGCCTTGCCCTCCGCCACCCTCCTTTACGGGAAAGGGCGACGGTCAGGGGATGGAGGAGCTGGGGGTGGGAACACCAAGGCGCTGTTCGGGAGGCACTCCAGTCCGACCGGGCCAGTCGGTCTGGAAGAACTGCCTAGCAGCTTCTGAGGCACGAGCAAGGGCTCGGCTCCCTTCCCTCCCACTGGCGGATCCCACTCCCCAGTCGGACTGGAGGGACTACACCCCAAAACTCCTACCCAGAAAATCACGTCCCTCTTCTGCGTATAACCTAGACAGGGAAGCAAATCCCAAAACAAAATTCTTGTCCCACAAAATACTTTCAAAAGTTCAGACCCAAGTAACTTCAGCGAAGTAACTTTTGCCAGGCAATTAGCGAGTCAAGGGATGGCGAACGAGCTTGGCGAAATCTGGCTTGGAACGAGAATTCCGGGGAGACTCGTTAGGGCGTGTCACCTCGGACGTTCAAAGGGGTATGTTCGAACAAGCACCGTACTGAACCAAACGGGTTCTTATACAAAATGTACGTAGCGAGTCAAGGGATGGCGAACGAGCTTGGCGAAATCTGGCTTGGAACGAGAATTCCGGGGAGACTCGTTAGGGTGTGTCACCTCGGACGTTCAAAGGGGTCTGTTCGAACAAGCACCGTACTGAACCAAACGGGTTCTTATACAAAATGTACGTAGCGAGTCAAGGGATGGCGAACGAGCTTGGCGAAATCTGGCTTGGAACGAGAATTCCGAGGAGACTCGTTAGGGCGTGTCACCTCGGACGTTCAAAAGGGCTTGTTCGAACAAGCACCGTACTGAACCAAACGGGTTCTTATACAAAATGTACTGTACCACAGTCAACCTCCAGAATCTCGAAATTCGAACAGCTGGTTACCACCCGAGGTGACACGCCCTTAGTGGTTTGGGCCGACAAGCCAGGGCGAACCAGCTCAGGCGGGGAGTTCAGGAGTGACCTACTTCAACGCACAGTACTACGCGCGAAGGCGAATCCAACCAAGTGCACCAAAGCAAGATCCCAAGGCCCTCGGTTTCGACCTTGATCTCTCCACAGCACGCAGCGAGCTGCCCTGCTGTCTCCTCCACTCCCTCCCCGACCACCCCAAGCAGGCCCTCAGATTCGTTTGGGGGTACACTGAGGCCTCAGGGCAGTTATTAGGAAATCAGAATTTGCCCTGAATTGTTAGGGCTGCACAGGGTGAGGTATCCTGAAATGTCAGTGCTACATTTGACAGTATTCTGGCAGTTCAGTGCTACATTTCGTACAATCCTGTATATTTCGCGCGTGTTATGTTAGCGGTGATCGAAATGCCCTACACATCCGAAGTGTGCAATGCTGGGGTGCAGCTGCAAGTGGCTGGCAGTGCAAGTCGCTGGCAGCTGCATTGTGCAAAACTGTTACAGCAGATGGCGAAGGTGGCGGTGGACATCGTGGAAGCAAAGCTCCGAAAGAAGGAGTCATAGCTTTGTTCTCCAACTTAGGGTACAGGAAGTGTGGTAGCGTGTAAAACGACAGCTTATTATACGACCAGTCGCCTGCTCGATTCCCGATGCGTCCTATGTTTGAGGTGTTCGCCCGTGTACACTTTAGGCCCCGAAACCCATGAATTTTTTCGTACAGTACATCTCGCTTTAGGGCGAGATTCGACACTATCCTGAGTCGTCAGGGCTGAACCTTCAGCGTTATCCTGAGTTTCCAGTACGCAAAATAACCATTATGCTGATTTTACAGGACAAGTAATTCCCTTATGCTGTTTTTCCAGGAGAAGCACACGACACCTATCCTGAATTCAGGAGAATCATGATAAATTATCCTGATAACATAGGCCCTAACCCCAAGGCTTCTCGCTCTGCCTCTTCTCCGCTCGCCATTCACCACATTCTGTGAGAGTACGACGGCTAGCCTTATCTTTATTTACTTTCTCATGCATTTTCTTCCTTAGTTTTGTTGGGTTGCGTAGCAACCCTATATAATCAGTTTCACTTTTTGGGGATATCAATTCAAGAGTGATATTTTAAAGCCCGAGTACAGCATGGTAATTTTCAAGTTCAAGATTCTTTAACTTGAAATCGCCAAAAACAGGGTTACCCTACTTGTTTTGAAGAAACTCTCGCGACCCCAGGCAATCGTCCTGCGACAACGGAACCTGAGTGCCCAAAAACGGAACTGACGCGATGATCGCCAACCATATGTACTGTTCACCACTCACATAGGCGGTGTTCGCCAGCACCTTTGAAAGCAAAAACAACGGGAAACGACGGGATCAGGAAGGTCAGTCTCGCCTTCCTAATCCCGTCAGTTAGGGTTCGTTAAGCTCCGTCAGGCTGGTCAGCCCGTAAAAATGCTGCCGAGCCTCTCATGCCGCCCGACCCAAATGGAATCTCTGGTGCCTAGAAAACGCCCTCACTTTTCTCAAATTTCGGACGGCATCATGGCATTCGGAAATGGGGAAGTAATTTCTTCCCCGGGCAAACGAGAGTCCCATGCCATCCCATGGGCCCTGTTCTGTTTGCGCACAGGCCATTCGCAGCTGCCGCACAGGTACTGCGGGCAGCGTTTTCCTCGAAAGGAAGGGAGGGCCTGAATCCTCGTCGAAGGGTTTACTAATCGACAAAAAAAAGAACTTTTTTCTCCCGTGTGCCCAAAAAAATGTTGTTACACACTGCCCTGGCACTCTTCAAAAGTCAAAATTTTGCTAACTGATGCACTGGATGTGGCAGTCTTACTGGATAGCCGTTGGATTTTTTTTAGGATGAGTATTCCACCAAAACAATACCCCAAACCGGGCGTTTGTATCTGCCCGTTATTTGTTGTGCGTCTCTTCATTCCCCCCTCGACGAGCGCATAGGGCTCGCACAGGCCATGCGGGAAAATTGCCAGTGAAACCAAGCTCGTGGAATTTTCTCAGCGCACAGAGAGTTATGCGTTCTTGCGCACGCATGAGTAATGCGCGCACAACTCCCGCACCAGAGGTTCGGGAGACAATAACGATTTGGGAGGCTCGACGTGGGCTTTAAGCCTTGTTATGCGCATTCCGAGAATGTTCAACGTTAGGGCTGAGCACCCCTTATGCGCCAACAGAACAGGGCCATGGCAATCATTGCTGCACAGAGGACCACAGTGGACTGCAGTGGGATGGCGACATCATTGGCTGTTTGGGCCATTTGGGGGAAGGTGGGGAGGCAGGTTCCGTATGCGGTTGTCACGTTTCCCATTTCGGGGCGGGAAATTTCGTGAGTGGCATTTCGCCCAAACCTCCTCGGAGGGTTCCGGCCCCGCTTCCCGATGCCGTGGCCATTGTGATGCCGTCATTTTTTTTTTTCAAATACGCATGTGCTGGCGAACACCGCCATAACTTGCTTACCAAGTAGTACTCATAGACTAGGAGGCTCCAAGGCAAAAACTAGCGCTAGTTGGCAAAAGGGGGTCGTTGATAGGTTTTTTTTTTTTTGTGCGGAAAGAAATATAGGCATCCACCTCAACCATCTTAGTTAGTGCACGCTCCGATCTCCCCCTCACGTCACCAGTCTCGTGTTACAACCCGTTCACCCGCGGCACTTACGTTAGTGAACGATGTTCGCGTTACTCCTGTCTTGCATTCAAGCTCGCGTCGCACACACAGGCTCTTGTCACACTTGCTTCGGTTCAGCCTCGTGTCACGATCGTACCGTTTTAGGCACGGGTTGCTCACGCGAATGCCGTACAGGTTCGCGTGACGCACGCTGCCGCTAGTCGCATGTGTTCCAGCTCGTCGACCACGTCAGACCGCTTTCCTCATCACCCTTGCCGACCCTCTGGTCGCATATGTTCACATAGTCGCCCGCGCTTTCCCACGTCAACCACACATCCCCTCGTCGCAATCGCTGATAGTGAACATACCGCGCTTCAGATCGTCACCCGCGCACCCTTCATCACCCTCGTCGACCCGCACCGATCCTCGCCGCCCTCACCTCCCTTAGTCACCGACATTCCCTCTCGTCGCTCGCGCTTCCCCTCATCACCCTTGCCAACCCTCGCCGCCCTCGCCTCCCCTCGTCGCCCGCGCGTCCCGTCGTTGCCCTTGCCTCCCTGTTACTCGCGCTTCCCAAAGTCATCCGCGTTTCCATCCGGGACAGAGAAGCGGAGTGACAGAAGGGGGTAAGAAAAGTGGGGGAGGGACAGAGGGGGCCAAGGACGGAGGGAGAGGTAAGCTACCCCACATTTCCTTCCCTGCTTCCCCCCATCCCCTTCCCTGCTTCCCCCCATCCCCTTCCCTGCTTCCGCCCATCCCCTTCCCTGCTTCCCCTCTTCCCCTTCCCTGCTTCCCCCCACCCTCTTCCCTGCTTCCCCCCATCCCCTTCCCTCCTTCCCCCCACCCTCTTCCCTGCTTCCCCCCGTCATATGCCATGCTTCCCCCCACCCTCTGAGAAGTGGGTGACACACGCCAGGTGAGCTCGGGGGATGAGTTGACTAGAATGAGAGGTGAGAGCCGCTTGGCATTTGGAGACGTGGGAGATGAGGGGAGTTAGAGGGATATGGTAGCCTCTCAGTAACATGCAACAGCAGCTGCATTCAATGCGATGCCCTTTTTCTCCTCATTCCTTCCTGCAGCCTCTGCTTTCTTCCCCTCATCCTCTGCCCTGCTTCCCCCCACCCTTTGCCCTGCTCCTCTCGCTTTTCCCATGTGCTCCTCTCCTCCATTTTACCATCTAACCTGCCTCTCCCATCTACCCCCCCTCTCCCTCCCCATGTGCTTCTCCTGCCCCTCGCATGTACCCCTCCTCTCCCCCCCCATGTGTCTCTCCTGTCCCTCCATTTCTTTCTCGTGCACACCCACCGCCTCTCCACTCCCTCCTGCTCGTGCACCTTCCCTCCCACCTGCCAGGAGCACGACCTAGAAACCTTACAGAGGGACTACAAGGTGCGGGACGTGGGTCTGTTGCGCGTTTCTTGGTGGACCTTCTCTTCCCTCCATCCTTGCATAGGCTTGAAAGCGCAATAGGAGTTGCCGAATTTGAGTTTACTAGAGTTTTGATATTCTAAACCCTCTGCCCGCGTTTTGATATTCTATTTTTGATAAGGTATGCCCTGTTATAGCTGGAAAATATTTTTCAAGGTCCCCCCCCCACATTTCAGCACCCCACATATTTTTGTTATTTTGAGTGAAGACTCATATTAGTGAAGTAGAAAATGAAAAAAATGTAAAAAATGTAATAAATGTTTTCAGTGTACTGGCTCAGTCCTATCGCGTGAAGGTTCGCATCCCCACCAGGCCTGTCAATTCACGGGCATTTGCCCGTTTTCCCTGGGAATTCAGGGTTCGTTTCAACTCAGCTCAGAGATTTTCAGGGCTGGTTTTTTCCTAGCCCGTATTCCTAGCGAACGGGTTTGGAACCTTCTCCGGATTTCCCGTGTACCTGCTCTCCCTCCCCCCCCCCATTCTGTTGAGAGAGTTAGGAGAAAAGGTGATTCATTAGGTCTAGGATGGGGTACAAACAAGAGTGTCGAGGTGAGAACTGTACCCCCTAAGGCTAGCCCCTATATTGCCTAGACAAGTTAATACACATATTTTGACACACCCCCATAGGCGAAGTGGGGAATAGCCAGAGCAAACAATGGCCACAAGACCAGTCAAGAGAAGAGCAAAGCAAAAGCAAGCTCACGGTGGATAACGAAGTCACCACACACTCTAAGCACAAGCAAATGGCCACAAGGCCGGTCCACATGCAGAGTTATATAAAAGACAGCAAACAGTACAGTGATCACTATCTAGCAAGAGTAAGCATGCAGGTATATATATAGGTCACAGTACAAGCAAAGTCAAGCAGTGAGCAAGTGAGGCAAAACACGCACAAGGCCCAACACAGTACAGAAGCGCTGATGATCACAAGGCTGAAGTGCCTTGGTGAATATATCAGCAGTGTTGGCCCAAGTGGCCACGTAAGCACGACGAAGCTGACCACGCTGATGCAACTCTCGAGCAAGGAAGTAACGCAGAGCAATGTGCTTCGTTCTGTGCTCCAGTCTGTGCTCCTGACACAAGGCAATTCCAATACTGGAGGAGAACGAGGCCGCTCTCCCAAGTTGGTCAGCAGGTAGGTGGGCCAGCGTAACTCCTGTGCAGCCATGGCTGTCGCGTAGATCTCAGCCTCACAACTGGAGCTGAGAACAGAAGACGACCGGGTAGACCGCCAAGAAACAGAGCCGGAGCCAAGGCTGAACGTGTAACCCTGAGACGACCGCTGCGTAGTCAGGTCGACAACCCACGAAGCGTCTGAGTGTCCAGTGAGGACAACTGGACCCCACCCTCCAAGCACGAGCCCCATGCCCGATGTACTGCACAAGTAACGCAGTACCCTCTTTGCAGCATCCCAGTGCACCTTTCGGTGCCTACCATGAGCCACGTAGCGTGCCAGAAGGCCAAGAGGGTACGCAAGGTCAGGACGAGTGCAGGTCATCAGGTACATGAGGCAGCACACTAGCTCTGGGTACGGGCCACTCGGCTCTACAGACTCGTCCGAAGGTGGAGCTGAGAGCAAGTGACCGGTAGCCAGAGGAGTGGACTCTGGCGAGGACCAAGTGAAGCCGAAGCGCTGAAGGACCTGGTGCACCGTGCTCTGTCCCGGATGATCTGCAAGCCAAGGTAGCTGCGCAGCTCACCCAGGTCTGTGCACGTGTGTCTCTTCTGCAGCTCCGACTTCACAAGGGCGAGTGCCTCAGTGTCAGCAGTGGCAAAAACCAAGTCGTCGACGTACACGAGGATGTAGAACGGCGGCAGCGAAGTGTCAGTGCGGAGAAACAGCGACGGATCTGCAGTCGAAGGAGCAAACCCAAGTGCCGCAAGTGTCGTCCTCAGTGTGTCGTGCCACTCATGAGGCGCCTGGCGGAGACCGTAGACTGGTGGTTGGAGGCTCCACTAGGTACCAGCAGGAAACGACCCAGTAAATCCAGGAGGACGGCGCAGCCAGATCTCCTCGTGTAGGCTGCCCTGTAGGAAAGCTGTGCCGAAGTCAAGAGAGTGAAGCTCGTGTCAGATTTATATGACATAGCTACTGTAGGCTATAGTGGGGTGGCACATATGGGGTACAGTTTTCTAGGGTTTGCTATTTGTACCCAACTTTCACTTAGTCATTTCATTCCTCGTTTCTTATCATGGTATCGAGCAGGTTCCCTAGTGGGAACGATTCCTAGGGCCCACCACCACGAAATTATTTTTTTTTCCTGCCCGGAGCGCGTTTTGCTCCGGCCCGAGTTGCGCCGCCCCTACGGCCCTTCGCGCCGCCCTTTCGGCCCGTCGCGCCCGTCGCGCCCGTCGCGCCCGTCGCGCCAGCCACCTACCTGTGCGGCCCCGCCACCTACCTTCGCGGCCCCGCCACCTACCTGTGCGGCCCCGCCACCTACCTCCGCGGCCCCGCCACCTACCTGTGCGGCCCCGCCACCTACCTCCGCGGCCCCGCCACCTCCCTGTGTGGCCCCGCCACCTACCTCCGCGGCCCCGCCACTTGCCTGTGCGGCCCCGCCATCTACCAGCGGCCCCGCCACCTACATGCGGCCCCGCCACCTACTAGCGGCCCCGCCACCTACCTGCGGCCCCGCCGCCTCCTCTCAGCGGCCCCGCCGCCTCCTCCCAGCGGCCCCGGACGCCGCCCTCTCAGCGGCCCCGCCGAGCCGCCCAGCAACCAAGCCGCCCAGCCGCCGAGCCGCCCAGCAGCCGAGCCGCCCTGCAGCCGGGCCGCCCAGCAGCCGAGCCGCCCAGCAGCCGAGCCGCCCAGCAGCCGAGCCGCCGAGCCGCCCAGCAGCCGAGCCGCCGAGCCGCCCAGCAGCCGAGCCGCCGAGCCGCACTACAGCCGAGCCACCCGAGCCGCCCTGTCCGGTAAGAGCAGCGCCCCTTTCACAGCACTGCCCTCACCCTACTGTTTGCGCTGCTAGTCTACTGCTGTCATGGCTACCCCTAGTGTCCTCGCTTTTGACGCTGAGGGTCGGGCCATTGACTTTGACGTCTGGATAGATGACCTGCAGCTTTTCTTACAGTGCGACAAGGCAGACGGCCTCTCCCTCTTTGACCTCACTTCTGGTGCCTCTCCTGCCCCCGCTGCTGATGCTGACGCCACTGTTCGCTCCCAGTGGGCCACGCGCGATGCTGCTGCACGTCTTGCTGTGCGTCGCCACCTACCTACCTCTGAGCGTGCGCACTTTAGCCAGTACAAGAGTGCTCAGACCTTGTACGACGCTGTAGTTGCGCGCTACTCCTCCCCTGCCACTGCTGCACTTAGCCGCCTCATGCTACCGTACCTCTTCCCTGACCTTGCTGCCTTTCCCACAGTCGCTGACCTCATTACGCACCTCCGCACTAGTGACACTCGCTACCGCGCTGCGCTTCCTGCAGAGTTCTGCGCCAAGAACCCCCCCCCCATGTACATCACCCTCTACTACATAGTCACCCGGCTCCCTGACTCCCTTCGCGTAGTCAGGGACCACTTCCTCTCTGTTTGCCCCACCACTCTCACCGTTGACCTCCTCGAGAAGTCCCTCCTAGCAGCAGAGAAGAGCATAGTAGCTGTAGGAGCCTCTCGTGGTGACCCTCGCACCCCCATCTTTGAGGGGTGTTCCCCCTCCCCCCTTTTGCCCTCTGTTGCCTCTGCTGCTGCGGCCGACCTCGTTGGACTTGAGTCGGTCGGTGCGGCGTCTACCCCTAGCGGGAGACGCCGCCCTGGCAAGGGCAAGGGGGGCAGGGGCACTGGAGGAGCTAGCGGGGGCGGTGGAGGCGGCGGTGGAGGCGGTGGAGGGGGTGGGGGTGGCGGTGGGGGTGGTGGCGGGGGTGGAGGTGTCGGTGGTGGCAGTGGAGGCGGAGGCGGCGGCGGCGGTGGCGGTGGGAGCGGAGGTGGCGGCGGTGGAGGAGGAGGCGGCGGAGGAGGTGGAGCTGGTCGGGGTGGCGCTGCGCAGAGAGTCGGCTCCGGTGGTGGTCAGCGCCAGCAGCAGCAGCAGCAGCGCACTCGTGACATCCCCTCCCCTCAGCAGCTCCGTGAGTGGTACGCTGCACGCCAGAGGGGTGGGGGTACTGGTCCGTGCACCTACGTCCTCCGCACCGGCGACCGCGCGGGTGAGCAGTGCGGGGGTGTGCACTCCACCCAGCGCTGCTTTGGCCGCCTGACGGACGCTTGGCGTCACCAGTTCCCTGAGGCCACTGAGATCCCCCGCTGGGGTGAGCTGTCTAGGGCGGGTGTGGCTGTCTTTGACCTTGACTTTGATGCTATTCTTGCTGCCATGTATACTGTGACTATTAGTGATGAGGGTGACTGTTACCGGTGTTTTCCGCCCGACCCGGGCATTGAGACTGCTGCTCTAGGTACTGGTGAGGCTGCTGCTCTAGGTGCTAGCGAGGCTGCTGCTCTAGGTGCGTCTGCTCCCTCAGGTGCTGGTGAGTCTGCTCTCTCAGGTTCTGCGTCGGCCTCGGCCTCCCACACCTTCACCCTTGACTCGGGGGCTTCTCGCTCCTTCTTTCGAGACCGCACCACACTCACGCCGCTTGGCCGGCCAGTTGCGGTCTCTCTGGCAGACCCCTCTGGGGGTCCTGTCCTTGCTCACTTCTCCACTGTCCTCCCGTGTCCGGCGGCCCCCTCTGGCACCCTGTCTGGTCTTTACCTCCCCTCGTTCTCTACGAACTTGGTGAGTGGTGCTGACCTACAGGATGCGGGGGTTCACCAGTTCACTCCTGGGAGTCAGCGGGTGACCCACTGCACGGACGCTCGGACTGGCCGACACCTGGCCACGTTTACCCGTCGGCCGGGGTCGAGCCTGTACACCCTGACCACTGCGTCTCCTCCAGTCACTGCGTCTGGTCAGGTAGCTGCGTCAGGTCAGGTGTTTGCTGCAGCGTCCAGGTCTGGTCCTGAGTCTGCCCCCTGTTCGTGTCGCCTCCTGTCTCACGAGACTCTCCTCTGGCACCACCGCCTTGGTCACCCCTCCCTGCTTCGTCTCCGAGGCATGGCCTCCCGTGTCCTT